TGTTATAACTCAATAATATTACCTAAATATTTTTGTTTTGCTTCCATGCAATGTGCATATTCATATATATTTTTCCTATCTTTGTTACTTTTTGAAATATCCACTTATGTCAATCTACTGAATTACACACGCCTCTGAATTATCAGTAGTCCTGTTTGAGATTTTAGCAAGGCAGATTGCTTCCATCCAGTTTATTTGCTCTTGTGCTGTGTCTGCACAGAAATAAAATGTCCTTTTCTTGCCTTTAGGTTTGATACTGAAACCATTTATTTTGTTGTCAATGTCAGATTCGGCGATTTCGGCACCAACCAATGAAACAGCTTTCATTTTTGCCCTTGGAATCTGAAATTATATAATTATAAAATTATATACGGATTGCCTTAAATCTTTATGTTATCTTGAACGTCAATTAACACTGACCATTAATGTTGCCTTCACACAGACGATGGTTTCTTTTCTTATTGCAGCAAACACCATAAAAACTTAGTAGCCCATGGTATGCCAAAATTAAAACAAGAGGTAAGAGATGGAAAAAATGGCACAGAGACACTGACAATAGTTATCCAGCAAATCCCTGAGACAACAACATAATAAAGAGCACAACTACAATACAAACGTAATTCGGTCAGTGTTTACTGATGTACATGTACCTTATTTTGATCTTCGGGCTGATCACCGTACAGCAAATCCGTTTTATACAACAAACACCACTTTTTACACCATTTCCGGGACAATTTAGATCTTTTATGTAGCCACCCCGATATTTCCTCTACTGATTTCTCGTCTTGGCTGTGGTTTTCGGTCTTTACACCTGAGCTGTCTGAGGGTACCTGCTCTGTGGTCTCCATTTGTAAACAAACGAAAGCGAGGCTGTTTTTCAGGAACTGAAGAGTTGAAAAATGTGCGCACTTGAAATCGATGTGACAAACGCAAAAATGTGATATATTGTATCTAGTGCATGCATCCACCGTGCATCTGCAACATGGTCTTAGTGGCAGCATATAACACGACGCAAATCATGTTTCGGTACTTTTCCTTATAACACGATGTCGATTTCAAACGTGTGGTTCATTCTAAAAATTTTAATAGGCCTATTGCTGCAAAATAGTGGGACCCCAGTAGTAAACTATTTCGTCTGCTTAACGCGTTTATAGGTCGTATTTTGTCTGATCTTAATCACTAAACGGCACTACAATGAAGGTCGTTTGGAAGGAGCCCTTATATATAAAGCCATACTTAATTATGGACAACGATTTTGTGGTGTTTTGAATGGCGCGAAATGCGTCAAAATCTGAAAGTTCCTTTTATCTCGAGGTTGCAGGGCCAAAATGTCTGGTCCCACGGGATCGGGGGGGGGGGGATACCTTTTTTTTTTCAACTCCTGGACATTTAACGCAAATAATTAAAAAAGCATTAATAATACAATTCTGTTTTTTTTTTTTTTTTTTTTTTTTTTTTTTTTTTTTTTTTTGGGGGTGGGACAGGATTCTTAAGTGACGGAGGCCCTTGACTCCCCTTATGAGTCTAGGAAACTTTTAATTTTTCACTATTATTTTGTAAAAAGGTACGGTACTTTTACACAGAATTCGGGAATTAAAATTATATTAAGCATATTCAAAGCACAAACACGCACGCACACACATAAGTTACATAGGCCTACATGTAGGGCCTACACGTAGGCCTACCTACATACCGTGTGCCTTTAACAACTGCATTGGATTTTCCCCTTATATATCCTTCCCCAAAACACCATCGGTCTAAGTGAATCGAATCAGCTCTGCAGAGATTTTCGCTGGATGCAATCAGCTTTTGGTGTACTGAAAGTACGTTAATTGGAAGCGTGTCATTCAGTTAAGCTGACTGCACTTAGCGAATGTTCCCACAGAGTTGGATCGATCCACGTTACCTGGGAATGGGATCTATGTAGCATACTGGCGCACTATGCAAATAAGTCAAGTTAATTTCTCAGTAAAATATCAGAGGGGATTTATTTGTCGAGGTAAATAAATAAACAAACAAAATACCTTGGTTATCGAATGTTTTATGTTGACAGTTTTGATTTTTCCCCAAACTAATATGCTTAACATGCGCGTTTATGGGTTTGTCCTTACAGATAGACCTACACTGAGTCTGAACACTGCTTAAACTTTGGCATTACGCTAGTCCAATGCACATCGGTATCAATCACAATCAAACACCTCTAGAGGCCAGATAAGTGTGAATCAGGAAGCGCAGTTATTAAATGCAATTCTCAGTTCCGAGCTGTGTAACCCAAGGGCAATCTCTGTTTGTGCTGTATTTCAATCCAATCACCCGAATCACACACGGTGATGCTGGAAGAGCTGTTGCTGAAAGATAAAAAATTTAGAGACAAAGAAAATAAAGTCTGGTTTCGTTAGTCGAACTCTTAGAATGGCACGGGGCGGACATGCGCTGAGGGATCCAGAATTTTGCTTATGAGAAGGGAGACGCGTTTGCTCGACGTGACTGCATGTGATAAGCAAGTTCGTTCATGTATAATATACAGATAATATGAGTTCGTTCATATATAATATACAGATAATATGAGCCCATATGTATGATTCGACGACAATGAAAGTTAAGGAGCAGAAGTAGGGCTAACGTTTAATTCGTAAATTTCGGACCCGCCAAACGGGCCCTAGCTAGGTACATTTAGAAAAAAAAAGGTGAAGAAGCTCTCTCTGTCTACTCGTAACTGCATCTTTTCCTTTTTACTTTTGAAAAGACAGTGTGGCAAAAGTACCAAAAAGACCTACTTTTTTATAATTTGTAACTGATATAGGTCGTCCTTGAGTAGGGCTTTGGCATTCCGACGAGGCAGAACGCAAGGTAGACGGCAAAATACACTGTAAGTCATGATAAGTAACTTGAGGTTTTATCGATTTAGCGATTGTATCGACAAATACCAGATAGGCATTCACTGTTAACTCTCTTTTCAAATTCGCGAAAGCCTGAAACAAAACCACGCATATCTCATCTGTTGACCAGTCAGTTTATTTCCACTAAAAATAAATGAAAATTGTACAATGTTTGATGAATATGAAAACGTCCCAGAAATGGCTATCGGATACTTATATTTGAATATTTTTTCTCTACATAGATCTAGTGTAGTGGCCTATAGCATTTGTGCTACTTGTATAGCTGGCCATCAGCAGGGCTACATAGGTTCTATGGTAAGGCTGCCCTTGTCAAAGACTGGCTATGTGAGATCCCCATCCTCATATCTTCATCCGCTTCAGTACCATTGGCGGGTCTGAGGGAGGAGGGGGGGCAGCGGGGTGTGTTTTGCTTGAGGGTTACCCCCTTACCCCTCATATATTTAGTACATGTAAAACGTACGAAGGCCGGCAAATTGAGACAAACCCAAGCCATCAAAGCTTATTGCCAGCCCTGTACCCAATACATGAATACACTGTGGTAACATCATCGGTTTTCTATTTACCGGATCGCGTCGCTCGGTATTTTTCAGTCTTCTGACACCCCCAGCGAACCCCTGGTAATAAACTCTCATGAACTTTATTAACTGTCTTGAGTGGATAAATGATATAACTCGTTCTGTTCAGCCAGGTAATATCACCTGGATTTCCCCGTTTTTCTGTCGCCGAAAGTAACTGATTATGCTTCCTGCGGTCACGTTGCCAGGGTCGCAATCGCTCAGCATCATAGACCTATATTGATTTACGGTAATATAGCTAAGTGGACAGAATATTATACACCTATTTCCCTAGTGTTAAGTGCATGTAACAACTATTCTCGCTATCTGTCAAACTGAGTTGTTTCATCCCTCGCGCCCCTGGAAAATCGTTTAAAAAGTCTCTAAATCGGCCGTCTTCATCGCGATATCTGTATCATCATATTCAGTTAATTGCCTTTGGGCCTACCGGTACATAAAACAAGCTGCTCGTTGTTTCAAGAAAAAAAAATCAAATTTCCTGATAACAGTACTACTAATGACATGAGGGGATAGAGTATAACTTTCTCCACCTTCCTCAAGAACCCTCCTAAACAAGCAAAAAATGACCATTCAATAAACTAGACTTCATATGTTCTAAACGATCTCATATAAGACTACAATATTACTTGTACAGCTATTTGTACCTTTTGCTTTGAATACATTACAAAGTAAAGGCGACGGAAAAAGTAACCAACCGGATCTGATCTTGTTGTAAGATAAAATAGGGAAGTTGTGTAGAGCCGGCCGAAGGACGTCATCACCCTGCTCACAACGTCAGTCAGCTGGGGACAGCCGACATACGACACCAGTCACGTGACAATGGGAGCGGAAGATGAGCAGTAGGAGAAGGTTGGGGGTGCCAATGAACTAAATTACCGATATTACAGGTACAGATTAACGTGAACAGAAGACCGCCTGGGCTTGAAAGATGTCGGAGGATTCGGGGAAGGCAATGAGTCTGAATTTCCTGATGCAGATTGGCTTGGAAAGGGAGCAAGTGACGGTGGAGGGAGGGGAGCTCACTCTTTCCAACCTACGGGAAATAGCATGTGCTTTTGTTGACCGAAAGGTGAGGGCTGTTTGTAGCATGATTTTCTGAGCTGATATCTACTGCTTCTTATTCTAGAACGGCTTAAGACAGCTTGTTTCATGTTGTTTGCTTGTACGATGTCTGGTACGCCGTCTAAGGTGGTTGTTTACAGTGTCTGTTGGATGGAGGTTGGTGTTCACGGTGTGTTGTTACCGCAGTTTCCTGCACTCAAAGTTTACATTGTGTCAGTCATCAGCCCTTTAATCCTCTAAGACTGTGTGCATACAGTTTGTTAACGTCTGGGGGTTTAAAGAGACACTTTTAATTTTAATTCTACCGAATAAACATTGATATATGTAGAAATTACTGGTGATTGTTGTTTTCTTGAAACGAGAGCTAACAAACGCCAGATAAGTTGGTCACCACCTGTTTGCACTCTTGGGCTCTGCTAGGATGTAAACTCTTAGGCCAGTCTAGTCTCAGAGTAGGTTGAGACATTTAAGTTCACATCCTTGAAAGGGAGAAGAAGTCTCAAGGTGAAGGATTTTAAATGGTTTTGAATTTGCTTCATGTGCCCTGTCCAAAATACATATGCATTAAGATTATGTCTCTCTCAGGTGTGTATTCTGCTGATAACTACCAAATAAAATTAGCTTTACTGACAGATGTTTTTTTAGTATGCATTTGACTGTTTCGCGACAAGAATTCCATTTTATAATATCAATATCAGTAAGAAGTCTGTCTATTTTTCCTGACATGCTCTTATTTATCCTGACCACAAATGTTGTTTTCTTAATCCAAAAGAGTTAAAATCAATACCTACAAAAATGTTTGGAGTGAAATTACATCTCTGTCTTTCTCATCCCTCCAGAAATGTACATTTTTATTTGCGGTGGGGGGGGGGGGGGGGGTACAAATGTAACCTTGATGTTGTGCGTACTTCTATTTCTGTTAGCATCTCTCTTCAGTAATGACCTGCATTTGGAATATCAGTTGATGTTTTACTGAAAAGGACTGTTACATAGTCTGAGCTAAATCCATTAGCTAATGGGTTATGAGTAGTAATGATCTGCGTCAAATTACACTCACTGCATATTTGAATTATTATTGGCTATATAATTATTGGATTTTAGTAACACATTTTACTTACTTTAGCCTATTACTTCTAAGAAGTCAGTGAAATTATATTTTTCCTGAAAGGCAATTAAAGAAACCCCAAACCTTAAGTGTTTTGTAATGTGTTGCATGATAAGCTGTTTTGATATTAGAACCAGACTTATAGATTTGATCAAATGATCGTTTCTTTTAGAAAAGTTGAAGAAATAAAATGAACTTACCCCTTGGTTACGTCATGGTC